ACCAGCGGCTGGGCGTGCAATGTGAGGGAGACGTTCGCGATGCAGCCTTTGTTGTTGTTAGGAGCGCAGCAGCAAGGCTGGTTCGGCTGCTCAACTCCCAAACAAAAGTGAGTCGTGGTTTGCATTTTTGTTCAAAATCAAGCCACGTTATTCTTGTCCAATTCACTGCTTGAACGTTTTGTTGACCTTTATTTACGCACCGTGCCTTTTCCCCTTTTGTCACGTTTGCTTTCACTCTGCTTCCTTGCTGTGTTTGGACATTGTGAGGGACATAACCCCACCTTGATAGTTTAGCAAGTTTGCTGTTGAATATTTTGCTCGAATCGTTACTGTTTCCTAAGCTGCTGCCCTTTTTCTGTTGTTTAAGGAATGGAGACGGATTTAATGATGAACGAGATCTGTGGAGGAGGAGCACAGAGGGCTCACAACTCTACATGCAACGCCTGGATGGAGATACTCCAGCAGGGCGACAGTGTGGGCAGCTGACAAGTCACTTTTTGCCTGCTTGAAAAACTACTGTCATGGTATGGGTTTTGACATTATCCATGCAGAAATGAAGGAGTGGATTTTGTAAGGTTTATCAATTGAATGTTGTCATTAAATCAATGATTCATTATTCATTGTCCGTGTATGACTCTTCATGAGACGTTTTTCTTTTCTCTGGCCGGCCAGGGAATCGTGTCCCACCTAGGCTCACAGTTGATTCATAAGTCATAATTTTCACTCAAAATTTATGTATTGTAGTCTGCAAGTGAACGCTTAGGCTTTGTCTTAGCTCTGGACCAGTGCTGGGTTGCTGTCTCTTTTTAAGCAGGTTGTTGGCTGAGCGATAGCGAAGCCTGTTACTCCAGTGGGGTTGAAAAGTTTTTCCTGTCTGTCTGTCCGTCTGTCTGTCTGTCCGTCTGTCTGTCTGTCTGTGTGTCCGCACTACTCCTCCTGAACGGCTCGGCCGATCTCGGTGAGATTTTGCACACTTCTTGGGTATGTCCTTGGCTCGGCACACGCGAAATTTCACCATCCTAGCTCAACTGGTTCAGTTTTTATAGCCGAAAAACACCTAAAAACGGCGAAAAATAGAGCTTTCTGCAGATAGATCACTTCTGGATTGGAGCAAGGGGGGTCAACACCTTGACAAGTTGAAAAGTGACAAGGGTGAAGATCGTGTTATCTGTAGATAAAACAAACTATTTAGAATGTAGGGGGGTCTGGGGGGCGGAGCCCCCCAGCATTCAACAAGTTAAAAAATAACCGACAATGGACAAGCCATTGCCTGCCGCAGGCAGGCTAGCGCCGCAGGCCAAGGTAGGTACGCCAGGCGTGGATTGGAGGAACAGGCAGCGAGACATCGCGAAGCCTGTTACGACAAGACGCGGTCTGGCGTAAACCTACCTTGTTAAATGTGAGTAAACTATGTTGCAGACAAGTGCGATGCATTTTGAATGTTTGCTTTTTGTGCCCTACTTGTTAAACAGAGTGTGTTCTTATTACAATATGAACACAAACCTGTGATGCCAACGCAATATTACAACTTTGGACTAACTTTGATAATATGAACTAGTCTTGTGCATACAAACAAATATTCATAGCAATTTTCAATTTTTTTTCTTCTATATTTTTCTAGCAACCAACTCAAATTTCTGATGGTGTGGCATAATCTCAGTGTTTGTTTGTGTTCATGACCCTGTTGGATGGCATTGTGAATATGCTCCTGAAGTGCACTTTCATTTGAGGTAAGAAAAGTATGGACTTCCTTCCCACAAACTGCCACATCTACAAGAAGTTAATTGGTATCATAGACTAACTTATTGATGGCAGGTCTGCTTCTTGGGCTGAGCTTGAGTGTCATTCTTATTCATTTTATTTATATGGACAGACCTGATAAAGTCCAGAGGTGAAACTTACACATTGAGTTAGTTATGTTTAGCACCTGATAAGAATGATATTTCTGCATTTGTTTTGATTAGGTGTGTCACTACATAGTTTTACCCAAGTTACCATGAGTGCTACATCAAAGCAGTTTGAGCTGTATCTTTTGTTTTGACTGATTTATCATTATCTGTGTGCTACTTCCCGCTGTCCTTGGTGGAGTCCCTGGTTCCAATTTAATGTCAGAAGCGTGCCCGGGTGGAAGGAACTGAAGTTCTAATTATATCTGGGAATTGCAACTTAACTATTTGTTAGACTGTACGCCACATACTTTCTGTTTATAAAATAACTTAAGTTTTACTATATTCAATAAGTGTAGCCTATTTGCAGACGAACAGCAGTCAGACTGCAGACTGACCGATGCAGTTTGACTGTAGTTCAACTGTAATTTAACTGGTGAAACTGCAGTCTAACTATAGTTAACTATAGTTGAACTGCAGTCTGTTTACAGGAAAACTGGTAGTTTTTTCGGACAGAGCAGTCTTGTCTGCAGTTTTAATCATGGTTTCATCTCGCCAGTATTACAGAAGCTTTAACTCGAGTTTTATATTGAAGTTAAAATTATTTTCGAGAAGTATTTTCTGAATTTTAGTCACAAGTGTGGATTTGGAAATGACGTTCAAATTTAGTTCTGCAAGCCCCCACCGCCGACCCTGGCCCTACTCCTTCCATGTTCTCTACGTGGTTGTTTGTAATGCTGTGCCATCTCCGCAATGAGAGTGGAACCCGGTTGAAGGCCGGGCGGGCTAGTCGGGTCGACCAGTCCATGCCACACGACAAGTGCTGTCGGTATTGACTAAAAATTGGAAGGATCTAGTATTGACCAACATCACCTTCATACGTTACCACTGCATGTCACCGCAGACTTCCTAGTAAGGCAGAAGAGTCTGAAGAACCGAGCGAATCATGCGTGGACCCAACCTAATTGTCGCCCGTAGACGCCATCGAGTGCTAACACGGAATTCCGTTTTTCTCCACTTCAGTGCAATATTCTGATTCAAATTTTTCTCTAACGTCTAAAGCAGATATTTACTGAAGTGGCAGATGGTGTAACTTGCAAAAATAACTTAATTCACTGACCTAAATAAGAAATCCCGGTTGACAAACACTCACAGCGATCCAAGCGCCACCTAGCGGCTGATCCTTGAAACCTGGCCTTGCAGCTCGGCGGCTGACAGTAGACCACACGGTGTGGTAGGATGAGGATTTTTCCACAGTTTGCGCACTACCCCGACGTCTAAGAATATCGCAATAATTTTTATGCTCAACGTTAAATTTTGGCTTCACCCCGCCATGCTTAATCTCAGAGAAAAAAAAACATATTGATCGACGTACTGATCCTTGCCTTCCAGTCGTGTCGGTTTTCAATAGCCCCTTTCGCTCGTCGCCGAGTGAAGAACAAAAGGACTCTAAAAGCCCGGAACCAGTAGCGCGCCACCAAGCGGCCGTTATAGCGAACTGTCAAAAGCTGAACCCTGATTGGTCCAAGCGTAGATCCGAACGAAGTTCATAGCATCGGCCGCTAGGTGGCGCGCTAGTAGTCCCTGCACTGTGATTACTTTTGTTCTTCAATCGCTTCCTCATTCCTGACTGCATTGAAAAGGTATACTATAAGTGTAAATTGAAGCGTAATGGTGTCTAGACAATGATCATGCAGATACAATTACAGATAAAGCGTTGATATACTTGAGTCAAAAGAAGTATTTTAACACACTTTTGAAGTATTGTTTGACTGAGCAATGGTGAGTGTAACATAGCTATAGATCAAGCTGAAGTTTCGACACTATTTAAGAACTTAACTCTTAACTGGAAATAAACTGCAGTCAGACTACTATTACGAGTACCACCTGAACAGTACACAAACTTGTAAATAATTTCAGAGTTTTTTCACACTTTGACTGCACTGAAGACCGCAGTTTGCGCACTGCAGTTTTTCACTGTAGTCGGTACTCAGTTAAAACTAGACTTCCTTCCACCCGGGTGAATCAGTAGAGCATGAGACAGTCAACAGAAAGATAAAGTACTTCATAACCTTCATCCAGATTCTTATATATGTTTGTAACAAATTTGGCCTACTAATGGAAATTTATGTGTATGGTTGTATTGGAATCAACGAACTACTTTGGTACGTTTCCTTTGATCTTACGAGAAGGCGTCATTTGTCCGACGTCCGTTTGTCCGAATCTTATGTTGAGATATAATATTCAAATTTCTTTTACTTGTGTTAAGTATCAAACTATAGTTATTTCTTCAATAGTCTATTCTTTATTAAATAAGGTGCAACAGATGTTTTCAGTCCTCTAATTAGGTCTAATTTTCTCGAAAAGTTTTGTAAAAAGTTATTTTATAAAATGACTATTTGCTTAAAGTTATTTTACAAATTAAGTATGAAGATATTTAAATAACTTGAGGTTCCCGCGCTGCGCCGGAAGAGCGGTGGGGGTTCGATGCGAGAGCAGTCGAGTCTCGTCGGGTCGACCTCTCGATTCACACTCGCTCGTTATTTGCAGGTGTTATTTTGAATGTACCGAAACAAAACGTCGTCTGCGTCTGTAAGAGCCTGTGTATTGAAGTGTTCTTAAAGTGTTATATAAACATTAACCGAGGCTACTGTGTTTCTGAAATCACCAAACCATCTCTCCCAGAAGAGAAGAACCCTTTGTACGGACTGCTTAGTACTGTGGTACGTAGTATTTCGTATTTCTGGCACTTACAATACCTCTTCTGCTTCCACTTCAGTGGTTAGAGCTAGAGCTCTAGTTATAGCTTTCTCTTCTTGTAATGCTGATCGGTACATTTCAATAAGTTGCGTGGCACTATGTTATCTTGATGCTAGACAGCCCAGCCATTGTTGGTGTTTAACTTAAGTTGCCAACCCAATTTTTTCTGCATTGTGAGCAGGGGTTATGTCCTGAAACAATCTTAATTTTCAATATGTTTTCTGTGTTGACGAAAGCTGAGGGAATACATGGACCTTGTTGTTTGTGCTTGGCGTCATTGAAATCGTGTCAGGTATGGTGGTGGCAGATGCCTTACGTATTGTGTTTACCTCTTCAAATAAATTCTTTCTGCAGTTTCAGTATTCCTATCTCATCCATGGATTCAACATGACGCAGCCTTTGGTCAAGAGGATAATTGGATTCCTACTCATCACATCAATGGGTATCACTGTATCTTCTTGAATAAAATGATTTTAATTTCTCCTGTGTTTTATCTTGTTTGCGACACCTTCCTGATTATCATCAGATCAGTCATCCCCTTGACTTACTGCACACATAAGCGCGCATTAACGTGTTTCAAAAGGACAGCACTTGGAACAGATATTGGGGGAATATTGCTAACGTGTAGCATCAAACAAGGCTAAGTAGAATAGAACGAAGTTTAATGAAACAAATTTACTTGCTCTAATCTCAGAAAAAGACAGTCATATGATAATATAAAGCTTACAAGCCTCGATAATTAGAAGCTAATAAGAGAAAAAACAAACCAATCATGAAATGAATGAAAGAAGCAAACATAGACAAGAGGAAAAAGACAAACAAGTCCTTTGATTAATAAAAACAATAAAAAGATATCAGAAAGAGGCAAAGCAATATAATAAGAAGCATTCAAGCTCAAATTGAGAGTGTGACCCCCAACAGAGCACACATTGATATGAGAAGGAAAAGACAACACATTCCTTTGATTAAACAAAAAGATAAGAGACACAATGTGATCTAATAAAAAGCTATCAAGCTCAAATTGAGAGTATGACCCCCAACAGAGCACATATGATAAAAGAACGAAAAGACATGTCCTTTGATTAAACAATAACTAGGGGTACGCGCCGTTTAGTGTGGGCGCGTAGTGTGGCTGAGCGATGAGAATTAGTTTGTACACTTCAGACTTGGCTAAAGTTGACGAAATATGCAACTTATGGGCTCATATATAGTGAAATGTAGGTCTGGTGTATAAATGGAAGTGATTTTCGTTATCAGCACACAAAAAACTGTTGGGATAAACGTCAAACTCGATTCAAAAATTTTGGTCCAGAATTGGTCAAAACTCGGTAATGCGTGAGTCTGAGAAAATTTCGGGAGTCATTTTTGAGTTCAGCACACCAAAAACTGTAGGAAACAATATTGAACTCGACTTGCAAATTTTGATCCAAAATGACCTTATTTGGGATGAAAATATAAGTCTGGAGTCAAAATGGAAGTGATTTTCGTTACCAGCACACAAAAAACTACTGGGATCAACATCAAACTCAATTAAAAAATTTTGGGCCAAATTTGGTCAAAATTGGGTCAAGCGTGAGTCTGGGAAAAATTTGGAAGTTATTTTTGAGTTCAGCTCACCAAAGACTGCAGGAATCAATAATACACTGGCGGAAAAAATTAAGGGGACACTTTTTCAAAGTGACCTCAAATCTCAAGTTTCAGAGCTAGAAGGGTGCAACTTTGAAACAAGTTGCCTTCAAGTGTTCTGAAGACGCGTGCAAAGTTGCACTGACGAGGTTGGACCGGGAGCGGGTGATTCACCCCCAGCAAATTTGAAGTGCAAAAAAACGCAACTTTAGAAGCGACCAGCCTGGCTCTCGGGGGTCAAAAGAATCGGAAAACGGTACAGAGCGATTGCTCTTGACGTCCTCTACAAAATGCGACCCCCGGGAGACCGCTAGGACAAACCCACCCCCTACAACCCCCACCCCCCTTCAAAATCCACAATTCTTGAGGTACAGCCCTGAGATCGGGCTGGCGTCATCCTCTTGGTCACCCTGATCAAGAGGATACCGCGTCTGAGCCTGTGCACCCCGTTGTCACCCTCGGATAGGCCGAAACACTTCACCCCCTTTCAACCCCCTGCGATTTGAGGAATTTCTGCTTTTCGGATGGGGGTGAAACTCACCACGGGATTGGTAGACGTGACCCTGAAGAGCGTCGAAAAGGTCCCATGTCGATAGCTGCCCTTGGAACCACGCAAAGACACCCCCAAGTTAGGGGTGCACAACCCCCAAGCGGAGGGGTTGAAAACAGCCGCGCCGCTGGGTGGGCCTTCCAGACAGCCAAAGCCATCGGGTACATGCTTTTTAGCCCTTGAATTAAGGTCTCTTCACAATTTTTAGCCTAAAAACTGTGTTTTGACGAAAAAACAACCCCTGTGTTTGCGGCCTTGTAGGGGCTGAATCAGTAGGGCTACGGCCGTGCCGACCGCGGCATTGGATGCTCCAAGGCCTCCTTATCAGACACCTAAAAATTCAGAATTTTCCAATCACGCGTTACCAGACAGTTAGCGCAGGTTTCGAACTCCTGCTCACCGTCCTGCCGGGAAACGCTCTCAAAAGGTAGGCAACCCATCCGGCTTCGATGTCAGTGATTCTTTTACTGCATGATTCTGCGGGTCGGATTCGATTTGCTGGGTTTGAGATTGATCAAAAACACAAGCTGAACCAATCTGATCAGCTGAATCATGAAAAAAGCGGAAAAACTGAAACGGAAGCCAGATGGGTTGCCTACCTTTTGAGAGTGTCAGTGATTCTTTTACTGCATGATTCTGCGGGTCGGATTCGATTTGCTGGGTTTGAGATTGATCAAAAACACAAGCTGAACCAATCTGATCAGCTGAATCATGAAAAAAGCGGAAAAACTGAAACGGAAGCCAGATGGGTTGCCTACCTTTTGAGAGCGTTTCCCGGCAGGACGGTGAGCAGGAGTTCGAAACCTGCGCTAACTGTCTGGTAACGCGTGATTGGAAAATTCTGAATTTTTAGGTGTCTGATAAGGAGGCCTTGGAGCATCCAATGCCGCGGTCGGCACGGCCGTAGCCCTACTGATTCAGCCCCTACAAGGCCGCAAACACAGGGGTTGTTTTTTCGTCAAAACACAGTTTTTAGGCTAAAAATTGTGAAGAGACCTTAATTCAAGGGCTAAAAAGCATGTACCCGATGGCTTTGGCTGTCTGGAAGGCCCACCCAGCGGCGCGGCTGTTTTCAACCCCTCCGCTTGGGGGTTGTGCACCCCTAACTTGGGGGTGTCTTTGCGTGGTTCCAAGGGCAGCTATCGACATGGGACCTTTTCGACGCTCTTCAGGGTCACGTCTACCAATCCCGTGGTGAGTTTCACCCCCATCCGAAAAGCAGAAATTCCTCAAATCGCAGGGGGTTGAAAGGGGGTGAAGTGTTTCGGCCTATCCGAGGGCGACAACGGGGTGCACAGGCTCAGACGCGGTATCCTCTTGATCAGGGTGACCAAGAGGATGACGCCAGCCCGATCTCAGGGCTGTACCTCAAGAATTGTGGATTTTGAAGGGGGGTGGGGGTTGTAGGGGGTGGGTTTGTCCTAGCGGTCTCCCGGGGGTCGCATTCTGTAGAGGACGTCAAGGACAATCGCTCTGTACCGTTTTCCGGTCATTTTGACTCCCGAGAGCCAGGCTGGCCGCTTCAAAAGTTGCGTTTTTTTGCACGTCCGAATTTTAGGGGGTAAATCAACCCCTTCCAAACCAACCTCGTCGCTGCAACTGTGCACGCACTTGTAGGACACTTAAGGGCAGCTTGTGTCAAAGTTTCAGCCTTCTAGCTCTTAAACTCGAGATTTGCGGTCACTTTGAAAAAGTGTCCCCTTAATTTTTTCCGCCAGTGTATTAAACTCGACCTAAGAATTTTGGTCCAAAATGACCCAATTTGAGATGAAAATGTAAGTCTGGAGCAGAAATGGAAGTGATTTTCATGATCAGCACTCCAAAAACTGCAAGAATCAATATGAGTTTCAATTGAGAAATATAGATATCAAATTAATCTATAATGGGTAAAGTATGGGTCTGCGTTCATGGATCACCCTTTGTCGTCACCAATACTATGATGCCTAACCACTGCGATTCCTTCAGTCGAGTAACATTTTATTGCCAGCATTGAATCGCTTAATTGGCTACTTGTCTGCTTGAGTTACTATTCGATTTATATTTTTCTTCAAACCAATGAACTCACAAATTTATTAGTTATATTTGAGAAGCCTTTTGTCATTCTTTCATTTTCAACCAGTGAATTAAACAATTTAGACTGGAATATGTAATTATAGTTTATATTAAGTGACTCACTTTTGGGCAGTCTGATCTGAAGCATTTGACGGGGATCAAGTTTTGTCAAATTCAGTTAATCGTCTCATGAAGTTCAATGCTGAGGCCACTTGTTGCTCAATACGCCAACATAATTCATCTTATTCATGTCTTGTGATATTTTATCTTTGGAGTAAAGTATGACAGTATAGTATTAACATTGGGTATTGGGCTAAGGTTCAGAGAGCCAACTTTTAAATCATTACCAATACTAAGTTCCATTTACCGGACACAAACTTTGGTGAAGTGAAAGGAATCTTCACATTAAATCCGATTGCCAAGTCACTCACCGCTCAAAACCTGAATCGTCTCTTTAAACCCAATATCAATTCAAAATCTGTTAGCATTAAATATACACATCTATATATTGATTCTTTTAATCAAAAGATGTTAGGACTAGAATATTTATGTTACTTGCATCATTGCAATAGAATGACATTTCCCGAGTCAAACCAAGACAATTAACATGTCTTCTAATTTCAACAGAAGTTATTCATTCATTTACCTGATTTGATTGACTATGTTATTTAAAAATGAAGATGTTATCAGAGGAAACAAAATCAGTAGATGCATACAAAGTAAAAGGCAAAGAAAACATTCTATTTACAATCCACAACTACACTCACAGTGCACTGACCTGAAGGAAGATTCCCCCGTGACGGGGGAGGGGGGAGAGGGGAACGAAACACGCAAACCATTCTCACTTTCAGTTTTCGTATTTTCCTCTGTTGACAATCCGGAAGGGTTTCAATCATTCTTGAATATTAAAAAAGTAACTCAGAACCTATTTCGGAGCCCCTTTGCTCTTCAGTTTGTTTATTTGCAAAAGTGCCGTCCCGTCTTGCAGACGGCTTGCAAGCGCGGCTGCCGGTATGAGAAATTGGGCGGCCACACGGTGCTACCAACCTAACAACGCTAATAACCTAGTTCAAAACGGTGTTTTGAATATTTCAAACGATGATTATTGCTGATCTAAGATAAACTCCCCCTGAAGGATGTTTAGGATACATCAGGTGTGAAGTTTGGATACTATTCGATCAGTAGTTGCTGAGAAACGTGAGTGAGTTACAGACAGACAGACGCACGACCAGTCAGTTTTTGGTGCGCCCAAACACGGCAAGGGCTTCGCTATCGCTCAGCCAAAAAGATAAGAGAGGCAAAGTGATCTCATAAAAAGCTATCAAGCTCAAATTGAGAGTATGACCCCCAACAGAGCACATATGATAAATGAAGGAAAAGACATGTCCTTTGATTAAACAATAAAAAGATAAGAGAGGCAAAGTGATCTAATGAAAAGCTTGTAAGCTTAAACAAAAAGAAATGCTTTGAACAGAGCCAACATGCATTAAGACAATCTTATTTAAGAAAAGATTTGAGCATACAAATTATTAAAGTAATTAAAAGTTTGAAAGCTGAAGTCAAAATTTCACAGGTAAAGTGGCTCCCACTTTCTAAATGCTTGTCGACACTTGGGGCATGGTTTCTTCTGGGCCTTGAGTGTTTGCAGACAGTTAACACAAAAGGCATGGCCACACCTGAGCCTGGCATTGACAGTGTTGACTGTGCAGACAACGCATAGGCCTGTAACCAAAGATAAAGATTAGTAGAAGCTACATACACTTGCCTCAAAAGTAAAAACGCATTCAAGTACTCACCAACGCTTTCAGCAACCTCCCTTGCCTCCGCTTCCTGCTGAGCTAGGGTTGGAGGGGTCTGTGGTCGTGGAGCAGGCTGGGATGCAGACAGTTGTCTAGCTCTTGACTGGGGTGTGGTCTGATGCCTCTGATCCTGGTTCAATCCTGAAAAATGAGTGGCACATAAGTTGTAGCAGTCGCGTTCATGCATTTAAGAGTGCCAAGATCTCTTACGTACCACTCAGATAGGATCTGACACTGGCTTGAGCTGACGTGTTCGAAATCTTCTTCGCTGGCTGCTGTGATAAAGACAGGGATTTCCTCTTTTTCGGTTGAGAGGGTGGAATGAAGTCCGAATCGTCACTACTGTAAGAATCATCTGAAAAGAGAAGCGCCACATTAAACAAGATGTTTAGCTTATCATGTGAACACGAGAGCAAAGAAGATGGTCGTACCTCTAAAATCAAAGTGATCCTCCGGGAATTCCTGGTCCTGGGTTAAATCAACTATGTCGCCCCCAGCCCCGCTGGATGACGCTTCCTCCTCTTCAAAGCCTTCGAAGGCTCCATTAGAACCATTGCCTCTTGATGAGCTGGGCACTGCTTCCAGGTCTGGAGTCCTTGATGCAGCTGAACTAGTCTTGACTCTTGAGGTGCTCGGCCCTGCTTGCAGGTTCAGAGTCCTTGATGCAGCAGAACTAGTTGTGCTTCTAGAGGTGCTTGGCCCTGCTTCCAGGTTCTGAGTCCTTGATGCAGCAGAACTAGTTGTGCCTCTAGAGGTGCTTGGCCCTGCTTCCAGGTTCAGAGTCCTTGATGCAGCAGAACTAGTTGTGCCTCTAGAGGTGCTTGGCCCTTCGAAGAAATCTGCAGACCTAGTCTTGCTGGAGCTCAGCATGTCAGGAGGCATCTCTGTGACCTGAGCCTTCCTAGGAGAAGCCGCCAATGAATTTCCCGCAACTGTAAATTAAACACAAATATAATAGAACCAATAAGACAGATCTAATTTGAAGGAAATTCTGAGAGGACACTTACAAAACGATTGTAAAATATCTCTAATGCTAGAGCCGGAGGAGAGCGCTGAAAGGAAAAAAGGCAGATATAGAAATGTGACAAAATGTTAAGTGCCAAATCTATTGTATAAATCAAAACTTACTGAAATTCAGATTGAAAGCAAGATTTACTGGAGTACCAGTTCCAACAGTGGCAACAGTGGCAATCGCATCGGTGGCTGGATTGTGAGAAAGTGGTTCAGCATTCAGATTGTCGACATTTGGCTCCTCAATGCTGGCCTCCACATTCGGGTTATCGATTGTAGCCTCGACACTTGGTTCATCAATTGTAGCCTCGACACTTGTTTCATCAATTGTAGCCTCCATTTCTTCTTGAACGGCAAGAGCTCGAGCCAAGGCAAGATCAGCCTGCTCTTGCTCCTGCCTCTCTAAAGCCTGCCTGGCGATGGCCTGCAGCCTTCTCTCCCGCATTTCTTGAGGACTGGAACAAACAAAATAGGAATTGTAGCATACTTGAACAAGTTCTATGAAGCATCATACTGTAGGGACTAAAATCTAATGATGTTCCCTTCATTCTAGGATTAAAAATAAGCTGGTCCTTGGGCAACTTTGAAATGCAACTCCAGCACTTAACCTTACCAGTACACAGCAAAGAATTAACCTAGAGCGAAGTTACAGCTTTGACGGTGTCAAAAGCAGATTGAGTAAGATAGAACGTGTTTCGTTAGGCGTAGAAACAGCGAAAGAATGGCCTTTAGCAGCAAGACTTGACTGTCTCACAATGGCGGGCTATGGCGTGCCTTCATGTGAGCTCACTTTCAGAGCCTAAAACGAACCCTTGAGGAGGCACAAACTCATCGTGACATGAATCGTAACGAAGCATGAAATCAAGGAAAGTCTCGTCAATTATGAAAGCTCGATATGATTTGAAACAGAGACTGACTTCCCAAAGTAACACGCGCCGAGCAACGCATCAGTAAAATCGTTCTGTTTCTTTGCCTCTCGACTAACTGCTCCTTAGAACCCAAGACTCTTAGATAAGTTTGAGCTTTCCCAAACACACGACTTACCTTAAGTTTGAATCCGACATGATTACAGGTTGAATCACTGACAAGACACTCTGAACACGCACACAATCCGCCTCACTTGACTGCTGGACGAAACCGAATGAGTGAACACCAACACCGCCGGCCGGTGCACCGGTCAGCGCATGCGCACGACCGACTCTTTAGCCTCCAACCCAAAGCTTCTCAGCCGCAAGTGACGTGTTTTAGCAGCTCACGTAAAATCGGTGTGAAAGCTAATCTGTTATCATTAAAGTAGCTAATCGCAATAAAAATATTAAGTTAAGAGGTAATTTTTATTTTTATGGTTCGCTATTTTATCGGATATATGTGGTGACCGATCACACACAGGGAATGCCGGAAACTTGCTATGGTGGCGGGAACATCAGGAATATTTGAATGCTTGCTTCGTAAAACGAATAAAGGTAAATGAAAACAGTTTTTAAAGTTGGCTTGAAGCAAGTGATAGGTTTGGCAGTGCCGCTCAGGGCGGCAGAGTACATGAATCTGCAACACAAAAGAAGTGGCACATCCCAGTGCTCGCCCCGCAAGCCGTGCTGGACAATCACTGACTGCCCCAGATTGCCCGTGCTGCCTTGTAAGGTGCTGTTGTCGCACTCTGACCTTCGCTAATCTTCGCCCGCCCGGGTCCCAGCGACAACTCTCATGCACGTCGTCGGGTCACTTCGTCGGTGCCTCCAGAACTACGCGTTCCCTTGCGCTACCTTAAACCGGAGTCATCCTAGCCGAGTCCAGTGGTGAGCACGGCAATGCGACTAGCACACCGTACACCGCACGCCCCCGCCCGTGTCCGTGCATCGTGCAGTCGAGCGGTAGCTTGACGCACGTTGCCGTCGCGGCCGGCCTCGTGCACCAAGCGGGCGAACTTCAGCGAGCTGGACACAAGCTGTGAATGAAGTGTGGCAGGCGGCAATGAGGCGGCCGGCGGCGAAGCCCGCACATACAGCACCGAGACGCTCGCACCCCGTTGGAGACCCTGGAGTTGCGCCCGGCCATCATGGAGAACAAGGTGCTGCGGCCGGCCGCCGGCGCCCCGTGTTCCACGAAGCCTCAAACCTCTGGTGCTGGTGCAGCGCCGAAGAAGTCCGGGCCATCACGAAGGTGCCCTCCATCCTAAACGAGATTCGCGCCGACTCCACCACCAGCACCGCACAGCGCTCTCATCGGACTATCTCTCTCGCACTTTTACGGGACACCCCATGAGTGCGAGAGAGAGACCTCCCACTCGGAATCCGCCTGCAGTCGCCGGGCACCTCGCCCGCGGCTCCGCCCCTCCGGCCACCTTCGCAGTGTCGCGCCGGGCTACCCCCTGCTGAACGTGGCCGGCCCAGCTGACCCCACCCAATGCCGGACAACATCAACGAGACCCGGTCGAGCCCCCTGCCACCGAGGAGATCAGCAGAATCGTCGCGGGGCTCAAGAAGGACTCGGCGCCGGGGGTGGAGTAGATTGCAGCACGGCGGCGAACCGGTGGCGGCGACGCTGCGCGCAGCGAGCCGCGGCTCATCATCCAGCGCATCATGATCACCAACACGATGCCAGAAGAGTGAAAGCCGAGCAGGATGATGCCGCTGCAGACTGATTCCGAGAGTCGTTTTCCGTCGCGCTATCTCTCGCGCACTCATGGGGCGTCCCGTGTAGGTGCGAGAGGGACACAGCGACGACAACGACTCTCGGTATCAGTCTGCAGGCCGCTCCCGCTGGCCAACCCCGCCATCGGGCAGTACCAGTGCGGCTTCCGGCCGCGGCGCTCCACCAACCACCAGATTCTGCTGCTGCGCCTCATCCTGGAGCACCGTTGGGAGGGGGGAAGGACACGCACGTGCAGTTCGTGGACTTCGCGAAGGCATGTGACAGCGTGCACCGCCCCTCCATGTACGCGGCGCTGGCCAACATCGGGACGCCGCGCGGCCTGCTGGACCTAATCTGAGTCTCTCAAGAGGGCACGTCCTGCGCAGTGCTCTTCCGGGGCGCCCTGTCGCCGTTTTTCGACGTGGCCTCGGGGGTAAAGCATAAGGGGACCCCCTTGCCCCCCTGCTCTTCAACCTGGCCCTCGAGGGGGCGGTCGGGGAGTTACACGTGGACCAGGAACGCCCAGAGCTGGTCGAATCAAGAAAGGGCAGGAGTGAAGTGGTCAAAGCAACTGGATAACAGAACTTGCGAAAGATGCCCCGTGAGAACGAGATGAACCAATCGGGTGCTTTGACTCTGTTAACATTGGCAGTTTTGAACGACCCAAGTGGCCACTAGCACTTCAAATCGGGTCTGGTGCGGCGTAGTGCCTACCGAGAAGACCACTCCCCTTTGTACGGACGGCCTGTCCTCGCTGTTCTGGGCCCGAAACGGTAGACGATCAATTGTGGTCTCGCCTGTCAAGTCAAGCCACCCGTCGGCGAGGAGCGCCTTTGAGGGTAGGCCAGCGAGCCTGGTTTCCGACAGCGGCGTGTGGCTGGTTGCCTACTCACCCTGGCGAGTGCCGCCCCCTCCCCCAGGTTTCATGTGCATTGTTTGCCGAGCAAACGCCAATGTGATGTCGAAGAAATGCATGCACCATCTCTGTTCATCATGCCTGGAGAGGCTGTCAACCCGTATCGTAAAAATATGCCCCAGGTGTTTCCAACCATTCCGGGCTTGGCACCAATTGTAATGACTACTTTATCTGATATAAATTTGTTAATTGATGTTTTCTACCATCTCTGTAATTGTGTTTTCTGATTGATGTAAAACTGTCTGGTTTTCTTTGATTTGAATATTCAAAGGGCTTATGCCTTCTGATATTGTGTACTTTCTTGTTACTTTCAAAATTGTTGAATAATCATTTGCATCACAACTTGGCATCATTTATTGGTACAATTCCTTGCTCCCCCTTGCTGACTGACATTTTGCAACTTTTAAAGCAGCTTCTTTACTCATACGGAACCACATGGATTCAAGTTGGGATAATGATGCACACAGATGTTAGAAAACAATTTAATTGTTTTTACAATATACAATCTAATGCAAACTCAATGACAACCTATTTTTCCTCAGTACAAACATGTGTTTTCAATTTTTAATTGGCATAGTCAAAAATTATGCTAAGTATCGCAAGCAAAGTGATATACTACAAATGAACAGGATCAGCACAATACGAAACCAATCACTGAGCCCCAGCTTGTCTTACAGGCTCCAAGAAAAAATTGTAGACATTCATGACTCTAGTAGAGGCTCTATGAAGGAATGTTCGAATGCTTATCCTGCCTTGCCTGAGTTGGTTTGTGTAGTTCATTATCATGATGTCATTGTTCATAGCCTGGACTGTTCTTGGGCGGTTAATGGGCAGGCCAGCATCAAGTGTCCTCTGAGTAGTGAAAGCTTCTCTTTCATATTTCCGAAGAGCACCTGTGCCAGAAAAAAGTGTTAATAGAAAAACTATTGCAGGGAATCAATTGAGAAAACTTTAGTCTAAAGTCAATTAAGTAACTACATATGCAGATAATACAGCAAATTCTAAGAGTGCAATTTACAAAGTATTCACAGTACTTACTTAGGAAACGATACACGCCTGGCCTGTTTGCTCCAGTTTTTGAGCCAAACATTTTGTTGGCAGTTTCCGCACAATTGTTCGTCCTGTGCTCTGCTCTATACACACTGAGAGATTCAAATGCTGATGCTGAGAACCAAGTATCAGTGTAGTAATCAAAAAGAGCATTTAACTGATCAAGTCTCCCTTCACGGTGAGCCTCTGCTATGAGTACTCGAACGCCCCTTTCCATATAGCGTTTTGGAAGTAAGGGCACGGCAAGCAATGATCTGGCAATGCTTCGACATATTCTGTCCTCTCGTAAGAGGCCAGTAAGACCTAGATGTCGGGTCTTCAGTGTCACAGCCTGTAGATATTGAAATAAAGAAATTAAATTGAATATTGAGACAGACCTTTTGTGCAAAAGCTTCATATTCCACAATACTCACTCTACAGTGGTGCCAGTAACAGCCACACACAGGACACCGATACACTTCTCTCCAAGCATTTTGCATAGCCGCCTCGAAGTCAGTAATGACAATCCTTGGTCTGAACCTTGGAACACGTTGCTGTAGAAAACGCAGGACTGCCACATACTCTTCTTCAGACTTGCCAGTCATTAGAACCTGTACAAGAGGCGTTGCCTGCAAAGGAATAATCCAATTAGATTGTCAGTGTGAGATAAAAGGGAATGCTGCTTACCCACATCAACAAGAACAATCTCAGCTTACATGATAGTCTATCACTCCTACAATTTGCAGCAGTTGTGCTGAGTTTGGCAAAATGGGTCTACTTTTGAAAGTACCATCACAAGATACAACTCTTGTTCTAGCAAGATATTGCCGCATTCTTTCAGAAAAAAATACAAGGGATATAGTCCCTGGACCTCGACCTCGAACCATGCCAGCAAAAAAGTTGTCCCCTTCATCTTGAGTAGCTGACAAATGTGGATTGTCATTTAGAAGATTTCCAAGCTCTTCCAAGCTTCCAGGAATATTCGGGTACAAGCCACCCCGAGCACGAGATATAATGGATCTCATTGCGGAATTTGTAATTCTTGCAGCCACATCAACATCAAACCTGGAAATAATTTTAATTAACAACAATCCAATTTAATTATGTGGAGCAATGGAAAGTCTGCCTCACCTTTCTCTGACACGGTTTAGGACTTCAGCAGGCGTTTCAAAGGGTCCATCTAAGTTAACACTTTCTTGTATAATCTCCCCTCTCAGCTGTCTTACAAGGTGAAAATCTTCATCAGCAGGACAGGTGTGCTCAAGCAGATTAGTCCACTGGATCCTCCCATTGTAGATTAAAATTCTCGCTGTTCCATGACACCACTGAGAGGTCCAGTTTTTACAGCGAAGATTGATTGAAGTGGCATTTCCTCCATCAAATTCATAGCTCTTCCCATTGTTAAAGTAATAATAGAATCCATCATGGCAATGATACAAGACAGTGCCCTGTCTCATCCCCTGAATGACAGCCACATTCATTTTGAAACCTGAAAGACAAGAAAATTTCAAAAGTATGTAAAAATGAGGAGAATAAAATAGTAGGGAAGAGTCTGTTCGAAGAAGTTGAGGTTATGCACGTTTGAAAGAACCTGTGCTACATGACGCGACTGCCGGGCTGAAGCAAACAATTTTGCTCCTTGCTGACGGCCGACTACTAAATTAGCGCACTTTCATCGTAAAAATCCTCACCTGAACTATGCCAGCACGTAATCTTTACTCTTTACTCTTCAGTGGTGCAAACCAAGACGACGTTCAACGACGTGTGGGGTGCGGTTCGCGCGCTTAGCGTCGCTGGACCTTATTTTTTTAGAAACTTTTAGAAAATGTGTGCTAAGATGAGAAAATGTCCGTTAAAACAGACCGCCCAATTTAATGTACGAGAAATTGCGATTCACGAAAACCGTGCGAATAACCAAAGTCGGTGGCATCGATACTTCGAGACTTCGGTGGGGATATCGATACCATCGTAACCCCACCTCGCTTCCGGCGCAGCGCGGGAACCTCAAGTTATTTAAATATCTTCATACTTAATTTGTAAAATAACTTTAAGCAAATAGTCATTTTATAAAATAACTTTTTACAAAACTTTTCGAGAAAATTAGACCTAATTAGAGGACTGATAACATCTGTTGCACCTTATTTAATAAAGAATAGACTATTGAAGAAATAACTATAGTTTGATACTTAACACAAGTAAAAGAAATTTGTATATTATATCTTAACATAAGATTCGGACAAACGATCATCGGACAAATGGGATCTCCCCCTAATGACCGAGATGACAGAATTTCTACCACCGGCTATGTCTTATTTTTAGCCAATGGACCTATCAGCTGGATGAGCAGAAAACAATCATTGACTGCTCAGTCTTCTAATGATGCAGAATACATTGCGCTCAATAAAGTGGCAAAAGAAGTATTACATTTTCAAGGTCTGTTTAGAGAAATTGGACTGGCTGATCTGATAGAGAGCCCTTCTATCATCTTCATGGATAATCAAGGTGCCATGAATAAAGCAAATGGAACAACAACAAAGTCAAAGTCAGAAAGTTCCAAATATGTGGAAATCAAGTATCACCTAGTCAAAGAAGCTGTGTCCGAGAATAGACTGAAATTGCAGTATGTGTCTTCCGCCAATAATTTGGCTGACATCTTTACCAAGGTACTTCTCGCCAAACGAACAGAGGAACTTACCACCAAGATTGGACTCTTACCTTTGAAATAGTGACTTTCCCGGCTGTGTCATACAACTGTATCTGTAATTGTTGATCTTACATTTTACAGTGTCTTGTCTACAAAATGTGATTATTTTGTCTTTTGTACTATTTTGGTTTTTCTAGTTTCTAGTGTCTAAAGTCATGAGAACTTTAAATTTTGTTTCTTGCATAATTGATATTTCTTTGCTTTGCATTGTTAATTTCTCTAGAGAACTATTGGTTTAACTAAATACTTTGCTAGTTTTTCTTTTAATTGAATTTGTTTACTTTTATTGTGTAACAGTGCACTAGATCATTCATTTGTGCTAATTTAGTTGTAAGTAACGGCATTATCCAATGTTAATTTATAAAATTGTTTGTTCATCGAGGAGAGGTATTAGATAAGTAAATGTTTCACTAAATTGAGTGTGATAAACAAATAATTTTAATTTGTATTGGTCTAAAATCTACTGTTTTGTTATTCGCAGTAATGCGTGTAAATAATCAACCAGTCAGCTATCTTTTGTTTTTTGTTTGTGGATTGTCTTTTGTTACCTGTGCACCCAAAATCTCATCAGTTAAATAAAGACCATAGAACTGTCACAACGTGTTGTTTTTGGTCCTAACTCAAAGAAGAAAGAAAGAGTGATATCTGAAAGAAACTTAAGAAAGAAAGAAAGACTGATAAATTCCTAAAAGTTCTCACTCACAACGTAACAACACCGCCACGGTTGGTTTGACAAACTTTGTAAACTCGGGAGGGATGGTTTCGAAACGCGGGTGAGTCTTGTTCGAGGAACATGAGCACTGAAAGTAGCGAGGTGGAGTGGAGTGGTCATGGTGTTAACTGAATTCAACAAAAACAGAATTGTTTTATTGACAGAAAAAAAGTAATATTTGTGAAACTTTATGTAATAAAAAAAAACTTTTGTTTTGTCATTTTTTTGTTTGTATTTTTTTAGAAAGTTATCAGATATAAATTGAAAATTTGTTTTATGACTTTTGATAAGCAGCAATCAAAGAAAAAAAACAAGAAAGACAGCAAAATGAATACAGATTTTGTGTGGTTGGTTTAACTGTTTAACAGGTTGCAAACCTACTGCGCGTGTCCAAAAACACTCCGATCAAGAAGTATTATTGGATAGTTCTACCCGAAAAACTGCGGTCCAAACGACATCAATTCTATTGTTGCATCTTCTCTATCTGCAGTTAAAGAGATTTTTCATTTCGAACGTGTTTTTGCAGCTTTTGAAGTAAGCTGTTTCAGGTTTCAGGTTATGGGTTCAACTAACAGCCTCGAGGTGGCTTCACGTCCGTAACTTGGACGGGTTGGGTCCTTAGGAGGACCATGCCCACGACAGTAGCTGTACAGAACCGAAAAGAAGCTTGGCTAAAAGTCCGCCCCAGCTCGGCTCCCCCCACTCCCTTTTTCTTTGACGAGTCGAGATTTGCCATGGAAACGGCGATTTTGACAGCAAATTTCTCAAAATTGGCCGTTAATTTTTTAACCACATTTCAACATCAGAATCAGCGTTCAAAGTTGTACTAGTCTGCAAAATCTCATTAAAATCGAGGGGTGAATCACTAGTGTACTCATGTGTACAAATTTGCCCGTACTCAGTGTACTCACAAGTTTCAAAAGGGTGAAATTCACTAGTTTTTCGACCGATTTAGCGTTAAGTGCCTTTTAAAACGCTAAATAAAGCCTTAAAACGTTTGTAAACGTGAAATTTATGAGTAACACGGTAACATCGCGACATGCGATTCTCTGTGGGCAAGTGTAGACTTGACAATTTTCTCCAGCGACATCTTGCGAATCCGCCGAGCCATTGCGTTTTGTCAAGCGAGACTTGCCAACTAGCAGCTTCCAACACAGCATTGCGGAAACGCAAGATCGAAAGTCAAGAGAGCGCTGGGATTCTGGGGTCATGCGAAAAGTCAAGTCTCCGGATGGCGTTCGCCCAGGTGCGGCTCGGCTGGGCTGGGCCCGGCGGACTGCTACGTCACTGCTCACTACCCCCTCCCCTCCGCCTCCCGTTCCCCGTAGGCTGTCGGCTCCCCCCCTCCCCCTCCCCTCCTGCTCCCTTACGGTGGCCTAGCCTGTGGCATCTCTTGTCGGACGATCGGACCAGCACGGTATTCAATACCAATTTAAGATCGTTGTTTTGGAGGAATGAGAAGGTAAGTAATGTGCATTTGATTTATATTTTGTTTTAATATTTGTTTAAAATACATTTTTAAAATTGGAAACATTGACAAACGTTATCCGCGTTGGCTGTCTCGTCGCCTACTCTCGCCGGGTCCTTTCTTTAGTTTCATGAACAATTATTTATATGTTACCGTGAAGTGTTCGTTATTTTAATTTGTAGCAAACAGACTGTGTAATTTAAAGCTTTCGGTTTAGTTTCTGATTGGCTTGAAGTGAAAGAATGGTTGTTATCTGCTCCAAAGGAAACATAACCTCTCCAGCCATAAGTCCAAAAGCAATTTATTTCAGTACTTTTTAATCCTCATCGACTGTTGTTGCTATGTTTGTTCTATTTCTACAAATTCTAATTTCTTTCAAACAAATAAAATTGCCCTCAAAGTATTTCTCTTATCAAAGTCATTGGGTTTTCTTGAAAAATTAACACACTCTAGCTGGTCTTTTGCCCCCTATTTTCTAAACCTTATATTTTTAGTATGATAATACCTCTTCTCTTCGATACTAATTTACTTCTTTTGTTCTAGCACCCCAGAAAGTCTTGGCTGACAACTGCTATGTTTGATATCTGCCTTAAGTTTGGTTAAAGCCGGCCCATCCAGAGCTTCTCATAATTTATGTCGTTACTCTTTAATTACAATGTAAGTAATCCGCTTTTCCACTTATTTTTGAAGAACTCTTCATACTGTTGTCTTGATTTGTTTTTAATTTATTTTACTAAATTCTAGGGTTACATTGAAGAGGCGGCATGAAAATGATAATTCGATTATAATTGAGAACCCCACTTGTTGTTTGAAGTGGGCGGCAACAGCTCAAGAACATAAAAATATGTCTGTTCTGGACTTCCAGTTATTGACGGAGTCACTAACTTCATTACATCTCCTTTTGTTTACAATTTTAGATAAATGTAAGTAGACTCATCTCTTGTTTCACCCTATCTTATTTAAATTATGACTTATCTGATTGTTTTTCTTTTAATCTCCTCATTTCAGACAAGTAATTTGGAGATGGAGCAATATGTGGCCCTCGTTTATGATTCTGGACACCACATTTTGGTTTTGAGTTGCCCGAAGCAGTCACTGAACACTATTTTTGTTTTGTTCTGATCTCAACATTGTCGATAGAGTCCAACTCATCACTGCATCTTCTTTTATGGACTATTTTTATAAAATGTGAGTACTCTCCTCTTCTATTTTATCATAACATATTTAATTGATTAATTTATTGATTGTTTTTCTTTTATTGTCCTCATTCCAGACAACTTATCAAGAAATGGAGTAATATGTAGTTATGGATCACCACATTTATAACTTCATGTTTCCCGCAGCAGCCACTGAAAACAACTTTTGTTTTGTTTTGATCAGGACATGTCCACAGTGCACAGTCCACTTCATCACAACAACTATTTTATGGAATATTTAAACAAAATGTAGGTAGATTCTCCCCTCATGTTATCATTACTTACATAACATGCATTTATTTTATTTTATCTTTGATTTTCCTCATTTCAGACAAGTGGTGTAGAGATGTCAATATCAACCAACATTCTGCATGAACTATTTCAGCGAAATGTGAAAAATCTTTGTGTTTAGTTAAGCTACAGTACACTTTTCAATTAGAACTTTCTGCCAAGTTTTCTTTTTAACTGATGAAATTAATTACTGTGTTAACTACATCAATAAATGTACATTTCAATCTCGACCCATTTCTTTGCTAAAAACCCCGCCACGGCCGCTAGAACGGCAAAAGTACGAATGCAGAAACGAGAGCGACCAACCGCCAAATGGCGAGAAAGCAGTTGCAGATAAGTCAGAGAGAGTATGAGAATAGGCAACAGTGCGTATGCAAAATCCACATCGACCGATCGCCGAATAGCGAGAACGGGCAAGAAGAAAGGCGACCGAGCTGCTGACGATGGCCGAGCGGAGACTTGACTTTTCCCCAGGCCGCCCTGGGAGAAGTGGTGGGGGGAGCATGCTAATCCTCCGGCGCGCGCCTCACGGAGCGGGCCGGGCGTGGCCCGGCAGACGCCGGAGACTTGCGTTTTGTCGAGCGCTCAGCGGAAAACAACCCAGACTGTGGCTCGCCGATTGGCAAGACATCGGTTGCCCATCTCATTTCTCCAGACCTCTCTTGTGAAAAAAAGTCAAGCAATGCCTCCGATTCTTGTCACCTGGAAGGTCTGGAGAAATCGCATGTCTCGGTGTTACCGTGAAAGCAAGGTGTACTCACGCTTACTCATGTACTCATGTGTACACTAGGACGCTGAGTGATTCACCCCTTGATTAAAATCCTATAGAAAATGTCCAAAATGCATAAAGGGCCACACGAATTGAATCTCCCGTCGGCTGATTCCTGGGGATACTATAAAGCTACTTTGTGCCTAAAAAGAGGTAACTCCAAAAATGTACCACACAAAAATGCTGACTCTACGCTCCACTTGAATTGTCTCCAAATTCCGCCTTGTTTGGGAGAACTAAGTTGTTCATAGGTCCCATCGTAAAATAAAGCCAAATTCAATAAAAAATATTGTTAAAAACACATTATTATTGGGGCGACATAGGGTGGGGATCAACATGAGCTGGGACGGGATTTCCTCGGGGACTTCTTGGCCGGGTACGAGTAGGTCGGGACGAGTTGTCCTAGACCCAACATGGTTCCGTGGTCTATTCCTATGTAAAGATTTAAATCACAGAAATCGTCTTCAAAGTGGGAGTTCTGCTTCAGACATAACTTTAAACCCACATAACTGTTTATCCACATAATTGTTGACAGACATAACTGGCTACAGACATAACTGGTGTCAGACATAAAAGAGGATTAATTGTGGTTGAAAAACTGTAAACACACATAACTTTAAATACATATAACTTTATTCAGAAATAATTTTTAATTTTAAAAAATATGAACAAGTTTAATTAAATAGAGGAAAACAGAAGAAAATGGAGCCTTGTCAAAAATTTTGATCATCATCAAGATTTCCTTCCTGTACAGCGGGCAAGTGGCACTGTCGTCCAACCGTCCCGCGCAGGTCTTGAAACAGATGCGATACCCGTACGTCACTGCAGCGTGATTTCTAGGGCCGTCAAAGCAGAGGCGGCACTGCTCATCTTGCCCCTCTACCGAACTGGAAGCAGCTGCCCCTGCTGAGTCCGCCGTGCTGTAATTTGAGCTTCATCCATTAATCCTTCGCGCAGCTCTTGCCCTTCTTCACTTCCTTCACTACTCGATGAAACTGGTGGAACATCCCCAGACGACGCTGGCCGGTCGACCGGAGGATGACGTAGTATGCAGTCTGTGGCGCGCGGCTCGGTGCGATGGTTTGAAGCGGCGTGTTACGACAGAATACAGATATACCTGCCGACGGTTATGTCTATCAAATATTATGCCTGTCAAATGTTATGTCTGTCAACAGTTATATGTATATGCGATTTGGTTATTTCTGTAAAATGTTATGTCTGTAGCAATTATAATTTTAATTTAAATGATAAATGCTTTTTGGCCCGCCCTTCTATTCAAAAAATAGGGGGAGGGCCTATGCATTTGCCTTTGTGTCTGTGTGTTGTTGTTGTTGTTGTTGTTGGCGTCTGTGTACAAGGAAGGAGTTGAGCTAGAGTAACCAGATTTGGAGGGTACTTCAGGAGTACCGTCCAAACAAATAATCCGGTGGTGCAAATCCCGTCCGGGTCGCACAAGGGCTGCTGCAGGTGCATCATGGTTTACATGAGCGGGAGGCGGATTTCCGCCATTATTAGTGCTAGCGGGGCACATAGGGGTATTTTTGGAATCGGGGCGACGAGACAAGATGAATGGACCTGGTCCCGACCCCATCGGCCGCTTTTACAAGTTGGCTAGATCAGGATCTTCAAAAAAGGGGGTCGACCGACTAAAAAAATTTATTGCAGATTTCGATTGGTATCAGCAAAACCTTTTCAACTTGGGGTCAGAAAGGGGGTCCAGGAGCCCGACTTCGTCTATTAGTCACATCAGGATCTTCAATAAAGGGGGTCGACCGACTAAAAAAATTTATTGCAGATTTCGATTGGTCTCAGCAAGACCTTTTCAACGAGGGGTCGGAAAGGGGGTCCAGGAGCCCGACTTCGTCTATTAGTCACATCAGGATCTTCAAAAAAGGGGGTCGACCGACTGAAAATTTTTACTTAAGTTTTCGATAGGTCTTGGCAAGACCTCTTCAACGAGGGGTCGGAAGGGGGGTCCAGGAGCCCGCCTTCATGAGTTATGGGAAAAAGTGCGACGGACTCGTTTTGCGCTCCTGCTGTGCCTCTATTGCAAGGAGTTGCAGTAGCATGGCAAATATGGGTATTTTCGGAATGAGGGCGAAGAGACAAATGAAATGGGCATATTCTAAGGACAGTTGGAGTAAAAAGTGTAAGGACTATTGCATATTGTGAATAGAAGGGCGGGCCTAAGTCACGATGGTAAATCGATAACTTTGCTTTACCCGCTCACGGTGTGTGTGATGCGAGCGGGCCGAAGGCCCGGGCCTTCGACTGGCCAAGTTGGGTCTGATGCGAGGGCCGAAGGCCCGAGAAAAGGCCGCCGGCAGGCCAAGCTGGGCCGGCCCCCTGTCGAACCGAGTTGCCGGCGCAGCGAAGCGGAGCTGGCAACTCGGTTCGACGGAAGGGCGGGCCCTAGCTTGTTTATTTTAGAAATAAATCCGTTATTTCTGTCACCAGTTATGTGGATTTACAGTTATGTGGGTCGAAAGTTATGTCTGTCAACAGCAACTCTTCAAAGTGACACTAGACTTATGAAAATTTTATTTAAGTTATTTCTTAGGCTTTCTTGACAAAAATGCAATTGCATTATTCATCTGATTGGATGAAGTTTACCCTGCAATCAGTTTTTTGTGTCTCCTGAAAAATGATGAAAATTGAGTTATCCCCTTCGTCCGCTTCATGGATCAACTGTGTAAGCATTTCGCAAGTGCTGAAGCGGAAGCGACGGGAAGTAAACAGCACGCATTAGAACCTTATGAAGTACATTGAGCAGGTACAAACTACACAGCTTCTTATACGGAGACATAGTTCGTGAATAACGGAGTTTTCTCTTTGAAAACTCATGTATCCTTTGAGTAGCCTGAAGGTTGAGACTTATCAGAGTGTTGATCCTGGAATTGCGTAACCGCGAGCGTTTCCCTTCCGTGCGTCCTCTCTTCCCGATGTCACGGTGCATTCGCAGGATCCGTTGCCCTCCTTCAATTCCTCTTCAAATCAAATCAAAATCAAATCACTTCCGTTGCAGAGTTCGAGGCGCACTTCGGGCCGTGAAACGCAGCCGCAGTGTTCCCAGCGGTCCCTCGTCGGCTTGCCCAAGGCGGACTTCCCGAAGGTAAGTTGCAGTGGGTACGCGAGGCAGAGAGACGGCGCAGAGAGACGGTGCACCGCGTGACGGTAAGGCTGCACTGCCAACGGGGCGCCGAGGAAGCCTGCACGCTAAATGTTTGTGTACAACTTTGTACTTGCTGATGCGTATTTTGAAACCTCTGCAACGGCTTTCACATAATTATGCCAAGATCTGTTTAAATTTATGGACTTGTACGCATAATATTGTGCAAATTCAACTTACATGCACATAATCGTGCAAGTTACACGTACAAAATTGTACACAATCATTAAGTGTGAGTGTTTGTGCGCATTTCAACCAGTTTGTGCGCATTTCAACCAGCGAATCAGTTCGCTAGATAAGCCGGTCACCCTTGTTTCCGGTCACTGTAAACGTCACGATCTACCGTCAAATGAGCTTACGACTTTAGGATTTCTATCTGGTCGTCCGGATTAGCGTGAAGGAAAGTCGGCGAGGAACGTGAGCATTTCCGATCTATGTTAGGCTAACTTGCAAAGGTAAAACAGGACAAGTGGCCATGGATTTGAGTTCGTCTTGCCAGTTGCGTTTGTTTAGGGACGTCCCTTTATTACGGTGCGCTCTTCGAGGCAGGGGGATCGAGTGCGTTACGCCACGGTATGGACATGAGAGAACGGCGTTAAGTCACGCGTAACACTCAGAATGCGAAAGAGTTTAAGATGTGTTTTCATGAATAATTTTGTGTAACGCTACATCGGGGTGGTCTAGGCCAGCGTAATGCTTCGCCACCATAGGGGGAAAAGGGGAGGACAGGACGTCTTCAACTGGGTAGACGGCAAACTGTGGCTTGTCGTTATAGGCTTCGCCATTGCGAACCTGCACCAGTTTCGACGATCCTTTCACAAATTTGGTTTTTACACTTGGCTTTTGGCCAGCGGCGCTGGGCGGCCTTCGGCAGGGTCACCTGATAGACATCGGCGGCGGGCTTATAGTCGTGATCTCAAATCAAAAGAGCATGCGGTGTTGGCAATTGTTGATCGTACCGTTAGACGATCTCAAATTGTTTAAAGGCAGAAGTCCTAAAATGTTTTAGGCCCGTATCCGATAAATTATAGGGGGAAAGAGTCAACCTGTGTTGCGCGATATCCTGGTGTTAAGTCTATTTCCTTCTGTATGTAACGAATCCCCGGACCGTAGATCGAGGAATAAAAGTGCCGCTGCTGCGCAGACGTCCCACCTCGACTCGAAGGAGGCTAGGGTGGCCCAAAACAAATCGAAGTTTTTCGGATCGTCCGATTCCGCTCAGAAATCGATTCTAGACCGCAAAATTAGAACCCCTATTTTTGGCGTTTTGTCCTGAGACGATTACCGGCTCAAAAGCACAAAATTGTTTTTACCCATGCACTGTTAAAAAAATTTACTGAAAATTCATAATTTTTTGTTAGAAGTCGATTTACTTACATTCAGTCTGAATTTTCATACCAAAACTTTCATACTTCGCGGTCTGAAAGTTTCAGACGACGTTAGTCTGAATTTTCAGATCAACATGTTGTATGAAAAATGATACCAGTCGGTCTATTTTATCAGACTAAGTTGTACGAAGAATATGAACAGTTTAGGAATATGAACGGACATTTTGGTCCGTTTTTTAAGGCATACCAAAAGATTTGCATCATTTTTGGCCAGACTGCGTTTTAAGGTCCGTTTCTGCTTGTAACATGCAGTAATCGCCCAATTTCGATTTTTTGGTCACGTTTCGACCCTTTTTTCTCGTCAGCGATCCCTGTGACCAGCAGATGATTACTCTTTCACCGGGACGGGTCGTTCGTTTTTTTCTGCCAGAAGGTATATAACACTCTAAATTACTATGTAGGTTTTTCTGCACACTAATGCACGAAATTGAACATGCACTTCGTAACGCACGAAATAGTGCGCGACAGGTCCTAGATACAACCGAACAGGTCCAGGCAGGATTTGACGGGTCGTTCGTTTTTTTCTGCCAGAAGGTATATAACACTCTAAATTACTATGTAGGTTTTTCTGCACACTAATGCACGAAATTGAACATGCACTTCGTAACGCACGAAATAGTGCGCGACAATGCACGATTTTCTCCATACTTGCGGAGGAAATCGTGCATTGTCGCGCAGAAATTCGTGCGTGACGAAGTGCATGTTTAAGGGGGGACCCTGGTAAAAAAATCGCCAAAATTCCAATAAATTGTATTTTCAAAGTTCATAGATAAAAATGTGCATAGAAGGTTTCAGATTCAACAGGGTGAACACCTTTGAGCTAAGGGGGTAGTTTCTTTATCATTTGGAAGGAAATAACATTGAGATCAGTTGTCGTTGACTTCTACGCTCAACTTCACAGCTTTGCTCAGTCGACAAAAAATTTTGTCGTAGAAAGACTTCCTGCGTTCCTGGTTGACACCTACATGAGTCGTCTTGCATGGACTCTATTCATTGATGACTTGTCGACAAATTTTAGTGACGGAATCTTGATATCAGCCCTACTTTTTTTTAAACACACCTAAAAGTTTGAAAAAAGGGAAAAAAATCACTTTTTTTAAATGTTAAAATTTGAAAACTCATATCTCAGGACAGAAATTGAATTTGAAAATTCCGTCACTAAAATCTCTTCTATACATCTTTAGGATAACCCAAAAAAATTTTCAAGACTTTCCGTCCCAATGAAAGACGCACGAAGATTTTTCCCCAACGCCCCAAAAAACTCTAAAAAGCCACTTTTCTCAGAGACCGTTCAACATTTTGGATTGAATTTTGTTTTGGGAACTCACCATAATGAACCTAATAATTAAACGAAGTTTTAACTTCCTGGGATTATTTTGAAGCCTACTTGAAAGTTTCACCAGGGTCCCCCCCCCCCCTTAATCTCGTGCATTAGCGCGCAGAAAAACCTACATAGTAATTAAGCGCGAAGGATTTTCCCCGTCAAATCCTGGCTGGAACTGTTCGGTTGTGTCTAGTACCTGGCTCTTCCTAACTTAAGACCTTGCAATAAGGCCAAGGAGGGTGAAAGCTAATCATCTGCTGGTCGCAGGGATCGCTGACGAGAAAAGAGGGTTTTAAATGGGTAATATAACATTTTTGCTTTTGAGACGGTATATAAAATCGTCTCAGAACAAAACGCAAAAAAGGGTTATTATTTTTAAGTCTAGAATCGATTTCTGACCGGAATTGGGCGATCGGAAAGACTTCGATTTTTTTTGGCCACCCTAAAGTAGGCGTTTGTGCATGCGCAGAAGCGGTTTTATTTCTAACTCCTATTCTTTGACTTCCGGTCCAGGGATTCGTTTCTTTACCCAACTTTTAGTGTTCTTGTTATTTCTAACTGGAGCAATTGTCCACCGTTTGGGGAATCTGTGCAGCCAAGAATTTCAACAGCGTTTACTCCTTTACCAAATTTATTTCATTTTGTTGCAGAATAGGACCCGAGTCGGTGTGCACCGTTACTCTCTGCATTTTGAGGTCTTCGCCTGCACCTAAGGTATGGTCAATGTCCTCTAGTTGCAGTGGGCAAACCTGAAGTTAGACTAATTGATCTGTGTGTTCCAGCAGGCCCTCCCTGCCAGGCGCATCATGGCCCTTGAGAGTGCACAGTGCGGCGAGGTGGCGGCATCGTCAGCGGCGCCGCGTGCTCCACGGGGAAAGCGTGGAGGGCAGCAGGCGCTCCACTGTGCAGTCTGCGAGAAGGAGTTCCGATGCAAGAGTGTCCTCCAGGCGCACTTGCGGATCCACACCGGGGAGAAGCCTTTCGAGTGCACGTTCTGCGAGGAGAAGTTTGCTCAAAGTGGAAACCTAACAAGGCACCTTCGCACCCACACCAAGGTGAAGCCGTTTGAGTGCGTAGTTTGCCAGAAGAAGTTCTCTCACAGTGAGGGTCTAAAATTGCACCTTCGGACCCACACCGGGGAGAAGCCTTTCGAGTGCGCAGTTTGTCTGAAGAAGTTTTCAGTGAGTGGGAGTCTGAGAACGCACCTGCGGATCCACACAAAGGACAAGCCATTCGAATGCACAATTTGCATGAAGAGTTTCTCTATGAGTGGGAGTCTGCGTGTGCACCTTCGGATCCACACCGGGGAGAAGCCTTTCGAGTGCACAGTGTGCAAGAACAAATTCACTGTAAGATCGAGTTTGATAGAGCACCTTCGCATCCACACTGGGGAGAAGCCTTTCGAGTGCACAGTTTGCAAGAAGGGTTTCAGGAAAGGTGGAGATCTTAGAACGCACCTACGGACCCACACCGCGGAGAAGCCTTTCGAGTGCACAGTTTGCAAGAAGAGTTTCAGGAAAAGTGGAGATCTTAGAACGCACCTACGGACCCACACCGGGGAGAAGCCTTTCGAGTGCACCGTTTGCAAGAAGAGTTTCAGGGCAAGTGGAGATCTTAGAACGCACCTACGGACCCACACCGGGGAGAAGCCTTTCGAGTGCGCAGTTTGCAAGAACAAATTCACTGCTAGTTCGAGTTTGAGAGAGCACCTTCGCATCCACACTGGGGAGAAGCCTTTCGAGTGCACAGTTTGCAAGAAGAGTTTCAGGACAAGTGGAGATCTTAGAACGCACCAACGGACCCACACCGGGGAGAAGCCTTACGAGTGCACCGTTTGTAAGAAGAGTTTCAGTACATCCGGAAACCTCAGAAGGCATCTCAGAACCCACACTAGGTAGAAGCCTTTCGAGTTCTCAGTCAGCAAGAAAAAGTGCAGCACGAGCAGCAACCACAAACAGCACATCCGGACACACCAAGGAGGAACTATCTGACCTAGGTCAAGTGTGGTTGCAATGTATTGGTTTTTGCTTTGGTCAGTCCAAGTACAAATCCCCTCTTAGGACGCTTTCTGAACTCGTGCCCATCCAAGGGCTCCCAAGTGTAAGAAATGTTCCCTTTTAATTCAAAAATAACAGTTGTTGAATCAATAGGGTTGATTGCAAAACGAGGCGCTCCATTTAATACTGCCAATCATTAGTTTTTTTTCAAAACTGTTTTTATTTTTCTTTTGTGTTAAGCAGATAAGTCTTTTTCTAGGAAAAGAGAAACATTGTCAGAAGACTTGAAATAATACACATCTAGGCAGATCAGTTCAGAGCAAAGATTGCGAAATAATTGACTTGCTCCTTTTTAACTAGCTTCCCGTTTATTCTAAAAAAAGAAACAACTGATGGACAAACCAAATGTGTTCAGAACAGCGCTGAAAATATCTTATTACAACGGACACCTTGTTCAGCAATATTTGATCAAAGTCTCCAATGGGTAAATTCCTTAGTGAGGTGCTGAGAACAGCCCCAAATGTAGAAAACTTTCGCTTGTAAAACTTGAACTGTCAAATAAATAAAAATACTCATTTCTTAGAAATCTTTATTACAAAATTACGTACTACACAAATGGATCGAGAGAAAGCAGCAGCTTTCTAGACTAGTCTTTCTTCTATAATTTTCAAGGTGACCAAGAATGTTTCACACCATTACATGATAAATATTTTGGTCAAATTTTAGGCACTCTGCAAGAAATTCCGCAAGGAAGAAACTTTTAACCTTACTTCACTATTGTCAGGGTCTGAATTTCATCGAAAAAAGGAGGTAACTGAACCGAACTCTCTTTAAGGACTCTTATGTAGACAGAAGCACCACAATTAAACTGCTTTTGGAGTGTACACTCTTCAAAAAATGTCCTGTCAACGCCGTTAATTTATTACCAATGTTTGCTGTTATGCAATTCACGGCGTTTGCTGTGAACTAGTTCACGGCGTTCACTGTGATCTGGCTACAGTAAACGCCGTGAATTGGAGCCTGATTTGCAGTACTTCGGTGCTCAGCGGCGTCAAACTCACAGTGTTTACTGGGGACCAGATCAAAGTGAACACCGGGAACAAGATCACAGTAAATCCCGTGAGCAGATCACAGTAAACGCTGTGAATTGACCCACAGTGAAAACTGGTAATAAATTAACGGCATTTACGGGACATTTTTGGTAGAGTGTAGAGACAACCTCGAGTAACCAGAATATATCTCCTAAAAGTTCTACTGCAATGCACACATTGCGCATGCACACATTGCGCATGCACACATTGCGCATGCACACATTGCGCATGCAGGGCTTACTCATAATAGCATATATTAGGAGGAGCAAATAGGAGAGCGTAGAAGAGCCACAAATAAAATATCTTAATTTATTACCATGCACAAAAAAAGCCTTAAAAAGAGGAGCTGTAATAAAATAATTTTAGCACTGTGCTGAGCGTTCAAATAATCTCGCTATTCAAGTTGCACTCACTACATAACACAGCCACACTTAGGCCACGCTCGGAGAAAATGTGCAATATCTGGGAAAGCTGTTCCCTGCAAGTGTTCTGGTCGTGACGGCAGAACGCATCGTGAGCATCTCGACGCAGAATCACCATCTTCTTGAGTTTCTTGAGCCCACAGCGCTGCAGCTCCCTGGCGAGGTCGGGGCAGCCGTAGGGCTCCGTGGAGGCCGCCACCAGCTGCAGCTCCTCCAGGGTGTCGGCGTGCGCGCGCACCAGGGCCAGCGCCGTGACCAGCGGGTACAAACCACTGCGGAGCCACCGCAGCCCCGCGGCAGTCCCGGGGAAGGTAAAAATGTCCGAGAGCGCAGCGTCCGGCGGGCAGTGCAGCTCCAGGCGGCGCAGCGACGCCATCCGGACCACCTGCTGCAGTTGCGGCCCCGTCACGTTGCACACGCAGAGGCCCTCGAGCAGCGGCATCGCCAGGGCCGCGTCCAGGTGCTGCTGCTGCGGCGACACCAGCTGCAGGGCCTTCAGGCGGGGCGCGGCCTGCTGCAGCACCGTCAGGCTCCAGGCAGGGTCCACGTCGCAGTGCAGGCCCAGTAGGGTGCGCACACACTGGAAGCGGGGCACATGTTTGTGGTCAGCGCGGGTCGCTAAGGTCGTAAGACGAATGGTACAGAGACACTGAGCTATGAACCAAACACCGTCACACCGTACGTACCGGTTTTAAATTGGAGCGTACCGAGAATTCCCAAATTGATTTCATTTCAGTTTGAAAACTCATGGAACTAACGTCGATGAGTTTTTGATCTGCTCCAATATGTGGTTTCTGGAAACAAGACTGTGGGTATAAACAGACGATCCAATGGCCAACCTGCTGGCATGGCAGTGCCTACACTGTTATTCCTGGGTGTTCAATAACTAAGCGCCTTGAGGCGTTTGCCTCAAAAACCTAGACGCCTTGATGCGCTTAGTTACTCAACGCCTAAGGCGTTTAGTTACTCAACGCCTAAGGCGTTGAATTACAAGACACCTTTGCTTGGCCTGTACCCACCACAACAGCAGTGGGAGTACTAATGCAATACAAGCTGCCTCTTTCCATTGCCTCAAGGCGTCTAACTACTATACGCCTTCCAAGGCGTTTAACTGCTAGACACCTTGGAGGTGTGCAGAGGCTGAACAGCTTGACTGTCTTTGAATACAGCCATGCCATCCCTTGTTTGAACCAAGGTGTTTAGCAGCTACGCACCTTTGAAGGTATCTTACCATTAAACGCCTTGCAAGGCGCGCAGCAGTTAAACACCTTGACACAATGGGCCAGGGCAGCCTGCACTGCTAATGTATGCATGGAGATTTGTCCATATTTTTCCATTTGTTTTAATAATCTACACATACCTGTCAAAAATTAGTTTATGATGCTGAGTTGTCAATATCCAATTAAGGATGGAGACGACTGTTGTCAATACGTGTGACCAAACCGCAGAATGTTTTTGTCAACGAATAGCAGTCATCACTTACTATTGTCCTAAAATTAACTTGAGTCTTATTGTTGGTTGCAAAGTAAATTAACACAAAGGCGGCAATATTAATTTGGCCTTGAAGGAAATAAGCACAAATATAAGTCCTTTTCTCCATTGTGAAGAATCCACAATGGACCAGGCTCTGGTGAGGTTGGGCTGCCCCTGTAGATGGAGACATTTTCAGAGTTTAGAGGCGTGTCAACATATGTGACGCACTGTCACATCCCCTTCGTTCGATTCGATTCATGATTTCACTGCCACGAAGCGCTCAAATTCGTGTGCAACAGTCTAAAAACGAAATAAACCGAGCCAAGAAGCACACACGAACTCGCACGTAAACATTTGAGACGCAACAAAACAAAATGCTGCCAACCTATGAAATAAAAAGACAAGAACGAAAAAAAAAAACAGACGTTCTTTTCATTTCATAGGTTGGCAGCATTTTGTTTGTTGCGTCGCAAATGTTTACGTGCGAGTTCGTGTGTGCTTCTTGGCTCGGTTTATTTCGTTTTTAGACTGTTGCACACGAATTTGAGCGCTTCGTGGCAGTGAAATCATGAATCGAATCGAACGAAGGGGATGTGACATTGCGTCACATATGTTGACACGCCTCTAAACTCTGAAAATGTCTCCATCTACAGGGGCAGCCCAACCTCACCAGCGCCTGGTCCATTGTGGATTCTTCACAATGGAGAAAAGGACTTATATTTGTGCTTCTTTCCTTCAAGGCCAAATTTATATTGCCGCCTTTGTGTTAATTTACTTTGCAACCAACAATAAGACTCAAGTTAATTTTAGGACAATAGTAAGTGATGACTGCTATTCATTGACAAAAACATTCTGCGGTTTGGTCACACGTATTGACAACAGCCGTCTCCATCCTTAATTGGATATTGACAACTCAGCATCATAAACTAATTTTTGACAGGTATGTGTAGATTATTAAAACAAATGTAAAAATATGGACAAATCTCCATGCATACATTAGCAGTGCAGGCTGCCCTGGCCCATTGTGTCAAGGTGTTTAACTGCTGCGCGCCTTGCAAGGCGTTTAATGGTAAGACACCTTCAAAGGTGCGTAGCTGCTAAACACCTTGGTTCAAACAAGGGATGGCATGGCTGTATTCAAAGACAGTCAAGCTGTTCAGCCTCTGCACACCTCCAAGGTGTCTAGCAGTTAAACGCCTTGGAAGGCATATAGTAGTTAGACGACTTGAGGCAATGGAAAGAGGCAGCTTGTATTGCATTAGTACTCCCACTGCTGTTGTGGTGGGTACAGGCCAAGCAAAGGTGTCTTGTAATTCAACGCCTTAGGCGTTGAGTAACTAAACGCCTTAGGCGTTGAGTAACTAAGCGCATCAAGGCGTCTAGGTTTTTGAGGCAAACGCCTTAAGGCGCTTAGTTATTGAACACCCAGGAATAACAGTGTAGCAGTTCCTGTTTTCGACGTTAGAAAACGAGAGGGAATTCACTACCAAAAATGCAAAAACCGACCATTTCCTTTCTTTAAGTATAACAGCAATTATAACGCCACTTACTTCTGTTATTACGGACGTTGCATTTTAAACCGCAATATCGGCACAAAAGTTACATTTACTGGCGCATTTTAAACCTTGTACAGTTTTAAAATTCGAAAGTTCCTTACATTTGGTGAAGTTAAAGGTTCTGTAATACTGAACGTAAAGACCGATACTGCACTGTAAAAAATTCCGTACTTTTGTACGGAAATGGTACAGGAAAATATAGTACGGAGGTACGGAGAAAAGTACGGAACGTTCCGTACTTGCTCCATATGAACCCATGTAAATGGGTACGGAAAAAAAGTACGGAACGGTCCAGGCAAATTATTGACCAGACATGTTCCGTACTTTCTCCGTACTTTTTTCTCACAGTGTGTAAAATACCGTAGCTTCATAGCAAAAATGTAAAACCATGTTACTAAATCTTCCTGCTTATTTCTTGTTAACCTAGTACAGTACAGAACCACCATTGAAGTACACACCGGACACCCAACCTCTACCCGAGTGAATTTCCCCTCGGCTAAACAATGCTTACCAACTCTGGCGGCAGCAAACGAAGTTCACATTTCCGAGTTCGGCATCCCATCGAGTACCAGTGTACCTTGCCGGTGCGGTCCCACGTCACCTGCACGCCCTTCCCGATGGGGTCCCCGTGCGCGACCGCGGTGACAGTGCCGGGCCCGGGCGGCGTGCCGTCTTGGTTCCCGTGCTTGACCACCTTCCAGTCGCGGCCGCGCGCCACCCTGCTGCCGTGGCGCACCCTCTGCACCATGTCCTCGACGCTCAGCTCGGCCTGGTTGGAGCGCTCCTCCCAGGACTGCAGTTCATGGGCTGCGGCGTTGGAGCTTGTGGCTGCGGAACAGAGAAGGGTGAGGCCACCCTAAACAAACGCCCAGCGGACTGATTCCGAGAGTCGGTTTCGTTGCTCTGTCTCTCTCGCACTCATGGGGCGTGTCGTAGAGGTGCACTGAAGACTCCTTACGGACACCATGTATCCGCAATAGGGACGGTTTTGTGCAAACGTAATTACGGATGGATTTGGTTTGTAATACGGATGATTTTGTCCGTATTATAAAGGTTTTCGTGTCCGTGACATACAAACGAAAATATCCGTAAGGTACGGACTAAAAACTGTTTGTAATACGGATGAAATCATCTGTATTACAAACAAAATTAATCCGTAATTACGATTGCAGAAAAATGTCCGTAATACAGATAGATGTATCCGTAAGAAGTTTAGTGTGTGCCAGACCGACCGAGCGACGAAAACGATTCTGGGAATCAGTCTGCACGGGAGAAAAATAGAGACTCAGAGAGTGGGAGGGTTGGAAGCAGTGGAAGGTGGGACGCGCTCACCAACATCGACGTTTTGCTGTTCTTCATGCAGGTCTTGTGGTTGCTCAGGTTCCCGCTGCGGCGACCACAGCCTTCCGCCGCACGCCAGTCGGCACAGCAGCAGCCTTGCCACCGGGTCCCTGGCGGGACGCACCACGCCGGTCCAGGCCGCGTCGCCGCCAGCGCCGCCAGCGCCGCGGTGCACCGTCAGGGAGCACCAGGACGAGGAGCTGGACAAGTCCGCCGCCACCTGGGCCGCGCTCCGGGCCAGGACTGCAGGGAAAGAGCATTGTGAGAGAGGCAGGCAACAGAAAACTACGACGGTTCAAGTACTGAGGGCGCCACCACCGAGGGGTGTATCACTCTGCTGTACACATGAGTACACCAGAACGACTCAGTGCACCTCAGAAAACTCATAAATTTCACTTTTTTGACCGTTTAAAGGCTTTGCTGAGTATTTCGGAAAACACGCAACACCAAATATTACTTTAAACCAGCGAATTTTGCTCGTTTTGAACTTGTGAGTACACTGAGAAAGGTTCAATTGGTACACACGAGTACACCAGTGGGCCAGAAGACCAGTGGGGGCAGCCAAAATTCTAGATGCGTTTTGAGCTCTAGAGCCGCTACATGAGACTCGAATCGAACGTGTGACCCCACCAATGAATTATACTCCGAACGAATTAGTGGGGTCGCACGCTCGGTTCGCGTCCCATTCAGCGAATCTAGAGCTCAAAACGCGTCAAGAATTTTGATCGCCTCCACCGGTCTTCTGGCCCACCGTCAGGGATCCTTAACTTAACTTAACATTTAACTAACACTGCTTTCATAACGTAACATAAGACAATGTTCGCTAAAGTTTAAGGGTACGGACTTCTGCAAGTACTTCCAAAAGTATATTTACACAAGTTCGAGACAAAAAAAAAATAACTTACCTTTTTGAAAAGATGTTAGAAGTTAAGGGTAATAACTTTAACTCTTATGATAACGTTATGATGCCCTTATGAGGTAAGTTAAGGATCCCCGCCAAGCCTTACCGCTCTGCACCGCGGCCTGCTTGGCCTGCTCCCAGGCCGCCGCGTTGTCACCCAGCGCGCCGCGTACGGCGGCCCTCGCCGCGGCCAGGGAGGCCCGCTCGCGCTGCAGCGTGTCGCTGCAGTCCTCCATCTGCCTGATGACGGTCGCCTCGTCCAGCATGCCGCCCAGCGCGGCCAGGGCCTCCTCGCCCTGCCGGAGCGCCTCCAGGTGGTGCTCTGCCGCCGCGGTGCGCTGCTTCTTGAGGCTGCGGATGTCGTGCTCGCTCACGCAGTGCTCGGTCGCCTCCTTCTCGCAGGACACACACCAGAATCGGGTCGGCCTGGAAACACAGAAAACGCTGCACTGCAAAGCCAGTGGCAAGTTTGCTCGCCACAAATTTGGCAAGCCGTTTTGAACGCCAAAATTTGGCAAGCTTTGGTCGGAAATCTTCACGAAGCTTGCCAAATTTTGGCAACCTGGGTGGTATTTTCAGGCCAAACTTGCCAATTTTTGGCATTCGAAACGGCTTGCCAAATTTGTGGCAAGAAAACTTAACCACCGGCTTTGCAGTGTGCTCGCTACATCTGGCATGATGCGAGAAAACGCTTACACGACAAATCCAAAGATCTGGCCAAAACCGACCAAAACTGACCTAAAAGTCTCGCCATTTTCAGGCTAGAATTTTTGTCGGGCCAAATTTTGACGAGACTTTCAGGCCTGATCAAAAATTTGGCGAGACTTCAGATCTCGCCATGTTTTGGCGCGAGTTCTTTCCATGTAATTTGCAGTGTTTTGCTGGATTGAAAGCGCAAGGAGCGAGATTCTTCGCGTTTCAGTGCGCAAGTGCAAGCACACTTTACCTGTGGGTCGCACTGAGCAGCTTGAAGTTGTCGGCCAACGCGTCAAGCTGGAAAGCCTGCAGGCGAAATCGAATACACACAAGGAGTTACTTTCGGACGCTTCGGTGTTAAAGTTGCCTAATCCTACCCCGGACACTCCGATAAGTTACCACAGTAAGAACCCAACGGAGAATCGCTTCGTAATACGAAAAAAAAACGAGGCATTGTAAAATCTACGAAGAAATGGTTCGCATCATGAAGCAAAATCCTCCGTAACACGACGCATTTCTTCATAATACGAAGCCATTGTACAATGCCTTTTATTTCTTCGCAGTTCCGAAGCTTTTGCTTCGTATACTATTTTGAGTGAGTGTGACCGCGAAAGAACCACCAGAAAGTAATCCTGGGTGAGGTTTAAGAACGCGCGAATCGGCGCGAATCGACATCAGCATTAGATTTAACAATGCCACGCCGGTACTCAGAATACTCACCTTCTCGTCGACGGGGCACTTCTTGGTGGCCAGCTGCCTCAGGCACGACAAGCAGTACGTGTGGCCGCAGAGGAGCACCTTGGGGCGGCGCTCTGCCGAGTCGAAGTGCTGCATGCACACGTCGCACTCCATCTGCAACAACGCACTGAGAAAACCTTACAAACTATTTTGGGCTCTACAAAGAAAAGTAGTTTGTATAACAAAGTATTTTGAGCATACATAAGCTTACAAAGTAAATACTTCGTAATTTACGAACTATTTCTTCGTATAACAAAGTATTTTAGTTTGTTATATGTATGCTCATAATACTTCGTAAGGTTTTAAGAGTGCGGGACATGAATCTGTCTTGAACACTGCGAGAAAGAAAACCACGATCTGTGGTCGTGTGTATTACTCGAGGGGCAAACAACTTGAATTTTGGTGCACATTTCCCTTGAAATAACGTTGCAATAACGCTGAAATAGCGTTGAAATAACCGTGAATTAACGTGAAATAGCGCGAAAAAAATGCACAATAACGTTGAAATAACGTGAATTTGCAATAACGGTGTACAAATTTTGGCCCCTCGGTATTACTCTGCCAGGCCCCATCCTACAACGCATTTCCAAAGGACAAACCGAACCGCGTCCTCTTGCACGACTAGACGACGACTGAAGGGTACGGTGAAAGAGAGGTATCACGTTCATGGCTGCATTCGTCACAAACAAGCTTTTCGAAAGCTCTTGTCCCTCCTGTTTTCCTCACATTGCAAACGGCGTTAAAATGAAACACACGACGGTTGTGTGGCCTCAGTTACAGTAACGTTACGAATGAATGGTTCCAACGTGAATTTTCCCAACGCAGTGTAGCGCCTGGGAGGTAGGCCACCCGCCCACCCTGCAACGCACCGCACTGAAGAGGGTGGCCTACCTCGCCCCCGACGTTCTCACAGGCGCGGGATAGGCCACCGTCTCCACTCCAGTGTGTCGCGTGGCAGGGGGTACCTCACAGGCGTTACGAGTTCCCCTCAGCGGTCGAAATCTGAGAGTCGTTTTCGTTCCTCGGTCTCTCTTGCACTCATGGGGCGTCCCGCATGGGTACCAGAGAGACAGGGCAACGCAGAAGACTCTCGCACTCTCACTCTCGGCACGTTACTGATTTTTTTCTCATTAAGTACGTGTTCGTACACTCTCATTCCAGGAACGTGACATCACGTTGTAACGAACGTAGCAAAATGTCACGTTCGTTTGAGCATTGTGTCACGTTCGTTTGAATGTGAATAAGCTGATTTTTGGCTAATTCACACCCAAACGAATGTGACACAATGCTCAAACGAACGTGACATTTTGTCACGTTCGTTTCAACGTGATGTCACGTTCCTGGAATGAGAGTGCTTTTTCAGCTTTTGGGGTAAACTGTACACACTGTGGCGAAAAGCTACGGAAAATTCTGTAAACAGCTTGTGGTAATTCTCCGTAGCCCCCTTGTCAATGTTCTCCGTAGGCTCTTACAGTATTTTCCGTAGGACCGCACAGTACCGTAGAACGGGGTAATATGAGACATGAAGGAAAATCGAGACAAAGCGCACTTTTTTCGGTTTTTGTCGTGTTGCTCTCTAGCGGTTGTTCAGAAGACTACCGTGAATTTTTTGTCGTGATCTAGGAGGCCGTGGCAGCTCACAGAAAACGCACGGAGGCTATCAGAGACTCGCCAGGGCTATTTAGAACCAAAGGTAAAAACTCTTAATTTTAACAAGTTTCATAAAGTTCGTAAAAACCTCCCCAGAAACCTCGGTTAGAACTTGGGTTCTCGTCCGAACGAGGTTTAAATCTGTAGGCAATTATGTCAACATAATCAGGACAAAATTTTGTTCCGTCATGTCTACTCTCGGGCTGCCTGTTCCAGATGGAATACAATTTTGTTACCTTGCAGGGAAAATATAGACACCTCTTTTCGCTTGAAATATGAGGCCAAACATACTCCACTGTTAATAATTTCAAGTAATAATGATTTTAACACGAATTTGTTTTGCTACCTGACCGGCATCTAAGCTCTTCGTTTAGTATTTTCATGTGACAGGCACAACTCATGACTTCTTATACATTTTTGAGCTCTCTTTAGTGACACCCATCTTTCTCCCCTCCAGATTTTATATCGTCTCCATTATAGGTTCCAATCATCTTTAAAATGAATGAAAAGAACTTAAAAAGCTCCAAACCCGCCTAAATGATTTAATTATCCATACTTCTTTAACATTTCTTTCTTTTGTCTCATGTTACCCCACATTGCAGTGAAATATGGGACGGCATTCCGAGAGTAATTGAAAGGTCCCTACTGCACCTAAAAATCTGAAATTTGGTGGGAGAGTAGCCAAAGGGTCAATGAACAAGTGATGAACACCTCAGTACCTCAAAATGAAATTAAAAGGGGGAAATCCACGAAAAACCTCGAAATTTGTCTCATATTACCCCGTTCTACGGTATTCTCCGTAGGACCTTACAGTGATCTCCGTAGAACTATACAGTCTTCCAGGTCCTACGGAGAACACTGTGCGGTCCTACGGAGAATACTGTAAGAGCCTACGGAGAATGTTGATAAGAGGGCTACGGAGAATCCTGGCAAAAAATTAACAGAATTTTCCGTACCTTTTTGCCACAGTGCAGAAGCGAAAAGAAGCTCGCCTATTGGTCCGCTCCGGCTCGGCTCCCTTCCTACTCCCTTTTCCCTGATAAGTCGAGTTTTGCCATGAAAACAGCGATTTTGACAGCAAATTTCTCAAAACTGGTTATTAACTTTTTAACCACATTTCAACATTAGAATCACCGTTCAAGGTTCAACGAGTGTGTAAAATCTCATTAAAATCCTATAGAAAAATTTTCAAAATGCATAAGGAGGCACATGAATTGAATCTCGCGCCGGCTGAATCCTGGGGATACTATAAGGCTACTTGAGCAGTTCTCGCGAAATGGTTAATTTTGGGCCCTGAAACTTTTTGAAAAAAAGTTCAATTGAAACCGGGTTTTTTGCATTTATCTTGTTAAGAACATCACTAGGGATCATGGATTCATCGGGGCGAGCTATCACCCCAATAATATAGGAAATATCGCAATTTTAATTTTTTTGCCGTCCACGGAAATTACACAGCCTCAGAAACTGTCCACGGAAATTACATTTTAATGGGCCTTTAGAATAGGTGCGATACGAACGCAAACGCCTAGCAGTTTAGGCAGCTCCCTCCACATCTGTGCATTCTGGTTCCATGTTGCGTACCTCACAATAAAATTTCGGGCTAGACCACAATTTGATCGTATGCCGTTTCGGGCCCGACACATGCCCGCGTGCACTGCCAAACGGGACACGGCCGTCCTTACTGGGGTGCCACGTTATACTGGCGGAGAAGAACCTATGCGGCTACAAGGTCCCACTCGTAGTGTGACCAGTATGTGACGAGGAATACATTCCCCCCCCGGGGGGGGGGGGGCACCCTAGAACAGCCTCTTTGAGCAGGACTGAGTCCGGTGTCCACCTCTCCCGGCTCAATTCCCGTGTCTCGGGAACAACTGGGAATTCATTTTCTTCTGACCACGGTTGCATAGTGTTTACCTCCCAGGCGGTACCTCTCACACTTGGCAAATGATGGGCCCTACAGTGGACAACGGAGGAAAGTCCCTCTTGCACTCTGAGAAAAAATGACGGTAAATCCTGGATAATTTTTTTGCCAAACTTTACCGTACTTCGAAAACCAGTATCCTCCGTACAGTCTACAGTATTTACCGTACTTGTTTTACAAAATATTCCGTAGTCTTTTAACAGTAGTTACCGTTCTTCCGTACAGTTCATGCCGTAGGAAAGACCAGATCTGGTCCCATCAAAGGCCGCTTCCAAGAAATGTCCACATCAGGATCTTGAAAAAAGGGGGTCGACCGACTGAAAAATTTTATTGCACCTTTCAATAGGTCTCGTCAAGACCTTTCCAACGAGTGGTCGGAAGAGGGGTCCAGGAGTCCGACTTCAGCAGTTGCGTACATCAGGAACTTGGAAAAAGAGGGTCAACCGACTGAACAAAATTATAGCAGTTTTTGATAGGTAATAAAAGTACGGGATTGCCGGGGGAAAATGTACGGGATTCCCTGTAAAGAAAGTACGGCGTTTCCTGTAAAAAAAGTACGGTATTGCCTGTAAAAAAACGACGGCATTGCCTGTTAAAAAAAGTACGGTGAAGTCTGGAGTAATCAGTACAGGATTTACCGTGATCTTTTCTCGCAGTGTGATCAGCTCCTGCGTGTCTATGTCCGGAAAATAATTAATAATGGGTGCGATCAGTTAAGGAAAAGTTGATCGGCGGGTCGAGACAGCGGCCCGCTCGCGGTGCGGTCTATTTAGCCCTCCTGGAAGCATATCTGGCACCCACGTTTACTAACCTATATTTTCAGAAAGATTACTCTTTGAGTTTGAGGTACAGATTGCTGCAATTTATTCGATAAACTGGGTCTTAGCATTCGAACGGCAAGCTAAGGAAAGACGTCATGTCGCTTAACATATCGGTCAGGTTAAGTCCACCGCAAGTCTTAAATGGTCAGCTAGATCCCAAAATACAGCGAGCCTATTTTTCGCAAGACTCTAAGCTTTCGGTTAAGCTTTCCGATCTGAATAATCAACGTTGAACGGTTTGACTGACTCGCAGTCACAACTGTCAAGGCAGTATGGCGGCCGCGCCGAACAAAGCAGCATAAAACCGCTTGGTTGTCCAGAAAATACAGTGTTTGACCAATCTGATGAGTGGAGTCGAAAGCTTAGACTCTTGCAAAAAGTCGGCTCGCTGCTCGTTTGGGTCCATTTTGTGACTTGCGGCGGGTTTGACCTGATGGATGTTGTGTTAAACTACGCCACGACTTTCCTCAGCTTGCCTTCCCATTCCCCATGCCTATTTCCCTCCAGAATGGCATTCCCTCCATAAGAGAGGTTTAAAACAGAAAAATATCGACATACTTTTGAGCTGAGGCCCCTTGCGAGGCCAAAATCACGTGAAACGCAACGAAAACCTCATTTTGTCCACGGAAATTACAGTCCACGGAAATTACATTATTGCATGAAATGAGGTGTACAAGCCAAACCAGAAGTGCCACCGGAACCAAAATTTTACTGGAACAACTTGTCCACAAGGCAAACACACAAGGATTGGTTCGCAATCAAAATTTTGAATGGTCTGCAAGCAATGGGTGGAACGGAAATTACACTTATTGCTTGCTAGGCCATTTTTTTCGCCGCTTTGGAACTTATTTAACTTTATATTTTCCGTTCTAATGGTGCCACATTACTCCGCCACTTTGCAAAATGTGTAGAACGAATGCACCAACAATATGAGAAAAGTTTCAGAACGATCGCACATAAGGTAGAAAAACCGTCCCAAAAAAACCGATTTTAGACTTTTTGAATTTTAGTTGTGGAAGACAATTTTCGGAATCATCTTGTGTCTGCAAATTTTACCCGAGAGATACGTTCTACACGTCAAAACGTAGCCTCACTTGCGTAGAACAAACTGCACTTTGCGAAAGCGATTTCTCATACTTCCTTGGGCTGTAGTAGAGGCGGGAAGCCCCAAATCTGGAGCGTAGGACATCAAAAAGTGTCCACGGAAATTACATTCTAGGGTAAAACTTGCAATTTAACGGTGGAAGGAGGCAAAATTTCATCTTGATGAGAATTGTACCTTGTCCGCAAGGTCAAAAAACATAAAGGTAGGAAAAGACCCGGTTA